ATTAAATAACAACTATAATCTGATGAACAAGTTCTCACTAACATTACCTGGCAATATTTTTTCAACGCAAGCGCAATCGCAAATATATAATTTATAAATGAAATATGATTTTCAGTAATATTTTAGCATACTAAATGTCACGAAATTTATTCCGTCAATATCAAATTGGTCGAATACTAACATGTATGCAATCCAAGTATAGTACTTTAATCCAGTGATGTTTTCTGTGTAGGGAGATAAGGGATGGCCAGGTCTGCCAGGTGGACAGGGACTTCCTGGACCACAGGTATGTTTATATGCTATTTGATTGTTACCTTTTTGGAGTTGCAATATTTGGCTATCTATGGAAAAGTGAAACTAAAAATCCAGCCAAAATTGTTACAAGCGCGAAAAAAAGTGCTACAAAGTTTAACATTACTCAAAACTACACATATGCCTTGATATTTATTCATCTGTGTATTCATCTGTTGAATTCGGCTTCTACTGTTTTAAATTACTATTGATTATACGTATTCAAACCCGTTCATTCACCGATGAACTATTATGTTACCCTGGCTATTAATGATAAATATTTTCGATACACATATTTTACTGAAGTTATATTTTTGTCGGATAGGGAAATCCAGGTGATATGGGACATGCTGGACCTCCAGGACCCCCAGGACAACCAGTAAGTATAATTTTATAATTGATGACTTAGCACGTTAAAGAATGCGATAGGTGCTGAAAACGTAAATACAAATAAACAAATAATTTCTATGCGATAAGGAACTAACTGTTGGCCTCTACATTGGCATCACCTTTCAAATTAAATTTGTTATATAATATACTATCAAAAATACATTACAGTAAAAAAATGAAATAAAACATAACCTGATGTCGTGGTTGGTTTATTCGTATTTTATAAACTAATTATTGAAACAGTTGCTTATTATCTCAATGAATACAATCATGTCAGTATGGTTCTTTAAGCAGAACTTAAGATATCTTTAAATGCAAAACTTGTTCTAATTATAGCATTACCAAATTATGATAGGTTTGGACTTTATATACGCTTGCTATACAATGAATTATTCAAATAACCGCTCGTTCTAAATGTTAGATGCTAATGATATACCGAACACTATTGTGTATTCTGTTCTACATTATCAAAGATAATCATTGACAGTAACAACGCAAGGGTTGTAAATACAGTAATACTCTATAGATGTTTTATGTGCTAAAGTCAGTATTGCCTTCTGTTGTTGATTCGAGTAAAAATTAAAGGATTTACAATAATTTTGGGAAAAGAAAAACGTGTTTACAAAAAAGAAACAAAACTTAATGCAAATCAATGTTGATTTATTTTCTACCTTTGTTACGTAACTCTGATTTTATCTTTAGGGAAACGCAGGACAGCGTGGATCTAGTGGCCGTGATGGAGAGCCAGGTGCCGTCGGATTACCAGGACCACAGGTAAGTATTCCTGTTGTAAATATTAAACCGAATATAGAACAACTATTTGAAGGCTAAGAATAACGTAGAATCTTTTCAGAAGCTAAACTTTTCGCCTCACTATAATTGTATATTTTCGAAAATACAAGCGTCCCGGATTGTTTAGGAACAATTTACAAGATACAACAGATACATCGATCTAAGAAAAATCTGAGAGATATTCATAATTAACTTATATGCTGAAGAAGAATTTAATCTTTATTTAACATGCCTTGGTAAGATGCATTAAAGTCAGCTTAATCAATTTCTTTTTTCTTTTTAAAGGGACCTCGAGGACCATCCGGAAATGATGGTGATTCCGTGAGTAATAAAACAGTCTACAAATATACATTGCACCTCAAATTATACAATTTCATTTTTTTAAAGGTTACTCAAATAAGTGTGTTTGAACACATTTTTTGTTCATCTTCATTTGTAATCCCTACAATGAAATCGCTACTGGTTTGCCAACTAAGGTTCAATCCCTATTTTAAGAGAGTTTGACTGAGAGTTGATGTAAAAGAACTTTGCCAAAATCTTAACATAGAAGTAATGTAACGTAACATGCTTATGTTTTTAGTCCAATATGAGTATATATCCAAATACTATTCCCGGATAATGAGTGTTTTTTCAATGCATCCAAAAAATGTTTTTTTTCATTAATTGGTACATGTATACGTTTTATTAAACAAATAAGTATATTTTTCCTTTCTGCATCATCGAATTACAATATTGCAGGGTCCAGCTGGACCACAAGGACCCCGTGGAGCACCAGGACCTCCAGTAAGTACGGAGAGTTTATAAAAACTAACATGCCATATCATAAACATACAATAACAAAATCAAAACTAGAAATCTAGATGCAAAAAGATAAAAGTAAACGAGATTAATTTAAGTGCTAAAATAAAATAAATAAATTAAAGAGGTAAAAAAGGGTTTATCCGAAAGCCGTCGATTGTGTATTGCGTGTTTATTAATGATATTTGCACAATACTTTAACTCAAACAACTGTTTCATTATTGTTTCTCTGTCGTGTTGAAAAAAATACATGATTCTATGAGATATTGGAATAGATATTGTTATAAATACAAAATATGGGAAAACATCTTAACATCAATCAATTTTGTTTTCTTAAAGCAATTATGTATATTAAGTTACTGTTGAATTACGATTTATAGGGATACGCCATGGCAAGGCCAAGCCCACAAACATCATCTAAAGGAGGTGACTGGGTAAGTGAACTGAAAGTTGTTTATTTAAGTTAAGAAACAATCAAAATACAATATCAAGAACTTATCTATTATTATAATTCCTACGAAATATTGTTTTCAAAACAACCGTCTGTAACATGTTTCAACTTTTATTTTTTTCCTGTGAAATATTTTGATAAAAATTATGTTAATAATTAAATGCCCTAGTGAATATGCTTAACTTTTGATTGAAAACCTTTCATTACAGATGTACGATCAAGCTCTTATGGTAAGTAACCTCACGAAGCCAGAAACATAATCCGAGTACTTAGACCAATTAATTGGCAATAGAAAAGCAAATGATCTTACTGTGAACGTTATAGATGGCCATTTTTGTAGAACTGTTCTAAAATATCACATTTTTTCAAAATCAATGTGAATCAGAAGCATTTCAACAAAATATAGTTTAGACGTTATACAAGCAAATAATGTTTTATGTATTTCGGATTTGAAGGCACTCCCATCGAAATTCCTGACAAGCTTACAGGATTCCATCTCCCGTTTAGTTGTACCAGACGGATCCAAGGATGCACCTGCCCGAGATTGCGCCCAATTATATGATACTCAGACTGAAGAGGCTAGAGCACAACTCAAAAACGGTTAGAATAGACAAACGGGCACTTAATTCAGACCCAAATTAACCAAAACCTGTCTAAACAAATGTATTCCATTATAAATATACATTGTCTCATTAAGATATATTTTATTTTCATGCGACATGAATATCGACGTTTTTTATTATGCTTACTAGTGGTTTTGTTGTCATAACTCCCGATTCTTATTTGGAGAACGTATTATATAAAACGCCTACCTTTCCATCCCATCTTGTTTTATTATTTCCGTGACTTATATTTTACCAAGTTTTATATTTTTTTAGTTCGAATCATGTTTCCTTCTGCGTATGTGGACATTGAAGAAACCAAGCTTAATCTCAAACATTCACTTCATCGCTTATAATTTTTCATTTGTTTTCATTTTGTATTTCAAGGGTTTTTCATGATCGACCCCGATGGTATGGAGATTAATAACGCAATCAGAGCATACTGTAGGTTTGAGGAGAGAGAGACATGTATAACACCGGGAATTAATGAGGTATATATATAACCATTTTTTAAACTGTCCTTCTAGCGTAAGTTTTTCCCTGTTACAACATAATAATATCTGCAACTGTATGTTCATTTTGTTATATCATGGTGGGGTTTTTTTAAGTAATAAATGTTTGTTTTAGTAGCAGTGTTTTATTACATAATGAATCATAAAAACACAAAGTGACTTGCAAAAACATACAATATCTGTAATTTACGGCAGTGATAAATACTAAATCTAATGGTGCAAAAAATAAACAGCAATGGTTGTTGAATCCTCCGAGATTTGATTTTATCTTATTCATATATTGCTATTACAGTTAACATGGGATACCGTTGAATCATTCATTGATAGCATAAAAGAGGTAAGCAAATCAATTTATATCAACAATGATTCTCGTCATTCCTTTCAACATATGTCGGATGATCTTAGAACAAATCAAAACATAAAAAATTAACCAACATTCATTTTCGATTGAATTTTATTGTCTTCTATTACACATGTTAATACCATATGAAGTGTTTGAACCAGGTTAGATTGTATTAAAGTTCTCATGCATTTGGTTATCATAAATCGAAAACGGATACATGTATACCTAGTGTTTGAATGTTGATCAGTTATTTCAGCTTTTCGCATTAAGAACACGGATAACTTTGAATTTCAATAAAAAAAAGTATAGACTGTATGATATTCTTTTCTTTTTCTATGTTTATTTCCAGTTCTATTACAAAGCCGATAATACGCAGCTCAGTAGTTTACAATTGGCCAGTGAGGAAGCACGACAAACTATTACATACAAGTGTCTAAATCACGATATACACCTCGCCACCACCTCCTTTGAAACCTTCCAAGGCATTGATGTCATGGCCAACAAGCCAAACGGTGCTAAGCCCCGCCATGTTGATGTTAAGATAGACGAGGATAACTGCAATGTTAGTAATTTTATCACATGATTAAAAATAGCCTCACGGTAAAAATAAAGACAAATTGATATGAATAGTTTCAATACAATTGTTTCTATAAAATTCTAAATTGTTACATAATTCTTTCAAGTTACTAATATACGAAACATCCTAAATCATTTGATAATTGTTTTTGTATCATTTAATAAATGATTGACTTTTCATAATTTAAACGAAATTGTATAATT